CTTTCCCACTTCCTTCCTGTTTTGATTCTGTTTGCGACGCCGGTGAATAGGTTAGCTTCCTAGCTAGCTGCTGGTGCTACGGAGCAGAGTGTAGTGGAGGTAAAGGAACCTCCGTTATCCTCCTCTTTGAAATGAAGCTTGTTTACTCATCTACAGCTCGACATCTGCTTCAATACACTTTTTCTATTAATCATATTTGATCGCCCGGTTGTGCACGCCGCCTCGCTCTTTGTTGAGGCGATGAGGCCGTTGCGCCTGTAGTGATGTGTCTCTGTGATTGGCCACAGGTTTACTTTGTTCCATAGCTACCATTTTGGAAAAGAAACTGCCTAGCTTAGCAATCCAGACTAATCTTTAGCTAAATGACTCGTCATAACAGTCATTATATAGAACAACCTTCCTCCTCCCATGTGTTCCTCTACATCAGACGGATAGAAGTGATGGATGCCTCCTAGAATGTGCACATTTTATAAGATTTAATAGGAACCATTATTAATAATTGTGTCATATCAGCTAAGTGATGGTTCATATCTTTTGGTGTTTCTGATATATTTTCATTATTTTGTCTGTGTGACTGAACGCTGGGTCACATGGATGTGGGCGGAGCCACTGAGCACCTGTGAGTGTGATGAGTTTAATCACTGTGAATAATTATGAGATTATGCTCGTTACTGTGGTTCTTATAAAATTATTAAATGCATTTTTTCATATCTAAGATCACAAATCTAATCTAACGCTGGCCGAGAGCCAGTTCAGTGTCTGAAAGTGAGTGAAGCTAACGGCTAAAAAAAAAGGTCTGCTAGCTTATGCTAACATGGCTAATGCAAAATGCCATAGACAGATGCTAAAGGTATTAGCAGTCTAACATAAATCCTATCAACAGTGACAATCTGAGCTACTTGGTTCTAGGTTCCCTAGGTTCTAACCCTAACCCTAAAAGATACTTCTTCATATAAAGTATTGATCCTAAAACAAGCACATTTTCCAGTAGGAACTCAAAGTTAAAGATAATATTATATAAAATAAATCTTGCCACAATTTATCACATTATAAACTTTGAATTTAAGAAAAAAAGACTTCCATTGAACTGGACTTATAAGAAACAATATTATATTGAAATAAAGCTCATTGGGTTCCACTAACAGGTGGTTTAAAGTAGACTGTTTCACTGGTTCCCAAAAGGACTCTTTTATTCATTTATTAAACTGACTCAGTGACAGATTTGATGGATATTTCATATATTAAAAACTGTCCAGTGTGACAGTGAACTTTTTATTCAATTCTCTGTCTGTATTGTGGATTTTTAAAATCATCTTTTTTAGCAGAGTCTTGCCCATTGTTCTATTAGACCATATTTCCATTTACTTTACACACTAGTGAACCAGATGCTAAGATATCGTCCTACTGTGTATATTTTTATATATAGGTTTTCTAGCACGCCTTTAAATCAAGAAGGCCTTGCGACCCTCCATGAAGCTTTGGCGAAACACATAAAGATCCTTGAGATATCAGACTGACGGAGAAGGAAAGACACATTCATCAGCGTATGAGGATGTGAAACAGACAAGGAGTCCCTCAGGTGGTCTTGGTTCGTTCCCTGATGAAGGATCAGCCTGTTTCTGCTACTGACAGTAAATAACCATCACATGTCAACTGTTCATTTTTATTTCTCTGATCAGTCGATGGATCACAGTAACGTTTGATGCACTCCAGCCTTTGATAAAAAGAAAGTGACAAAGTGTTGATATTATCACATATTTTCATTTTCATTATTTCTCTTCATCATCCTTTACTTGACATGAGCAGGAAACAGGTTTCCACTGGAGGGCGACGTTCTCCACAAACTGAACCTAACCATAACACACACACATCAACAACACACACACACATTAACAACACACACACACATGCATTAATGAATGTTTTTCTGCTATCAGTCTTCATCAGTTAACTTCAATAATTTCTTCATCGAAGCCATCAACCTGTCTGTTAGATCCAATCCCAACTAGGCTGCTTAAAGAAGTTGTACCCTTAA